TTAAAGGTGTGCTCTGTAATTCCTGCCAACACAGAAGGCTGAGGGGAAAAAAAAATCAAAAGTTCAAGACTAGTCTGGGCTGAATAATGTAGTTGATTTTTTGTTTTTTGTTTATTTGTTTTTACTCTTTGGGGGCCACCACCCAGCTTCCAAACAAATACACGGAGACTTATCTTACTTATGAAAGCCTAACCTTAACTTAGCTTGTTTCTAGCCAGCATTTCTAGCTTAAGTTGTTCTGTTTCTCTTCACGTTTTGCCTCTGTGCTTTTAACCTTTCTTTATATATCTTTCTTTCCTCTTATTCCATGGTTGGCGGGGGGGAGGGGGGGATTGGCCCCAATGTCCTCCTCTCCTTCTCCTTTTCTTGTTCTTCCCTGCCTTCCCTAGATTTTTCCTCCTATTTAGTCTTTCTGTCCGCCAGCCCTGCCTACATCTCTCTTCTGCCTAGGTATTGTCTGTTCAATTCTTTATTAGACCAATCAGTTATTTTAGGCAGGCACAGGAACACAGCTTCACAGAGTTAACCAAATGCAACACAGAAGAACGCAGCACATTTCTGCATCATTGCACAAATGTTCCACAGCATAAACGAATGTGACACATCTTAAACTAATATTCCACAGCAGAGTATAGAGTGAATTAAGGGCAATTCAGGCAATTCAGGCCCTGTCTCAAACTAAAAAAAAAAAAAAACAACAAAACCATAGCTAGGGACACACACAAATAAAACGTAAGGAATACTAAGTCCTCTCAATGTACATAACATACATTGTTCTGAATACGTTTTCCTCAAATTATACATGGAAGTAGATGATATTATTTTCATTTACAAATTAAAACTGCAGGTGGTGGTTGACACATGCTTTTAATCCCAGCACTGGGGAGGCAGAGGCAGGTGTTATAAGAATTTAGCAGAATCCCTGTGTGGGGTAAGATATTAGAATGAACTTCTGGTTTTTAGAAGGACCTTGGCCTTAAAAAATCATTGGGGGGGGGCGCAGTGATTGTTTGCTGAAGGGGCATTCTAGCCATCCCACAACTTTGGTCATAAGACACTTCAGGAACACCTGAGGCTCCTGTTTTATTGTGCACTGCAAACAATACATAATAAAAACTAGAGTCAAGGGGGAAAAGTGATACTCTTTTTTAGGAAGACATGTGAATTAGATTAGGGACCATGGCATGAGGAAATACTTTATGTACCTTTCAATAAATACACTTTTGTATGGCTATTCGGGGTTCAGTCCATCAGAAGAGGCTGGAACTTCCTGCTGCCACATAGGTCTTAAAATTTCAACTTGGGGGGCTGGAGAGATGGCTCAGTGGTTAAGAGCACTGACTACTCTTCTAGAGGATCTGGGATCCGTTCCCAGCATCCACATGGCAGCTCACAACTGTCTGTAATTCCAAGATCTGACACTCTCACACAGACATACATGCAGGCAAAATACCAATGCACAGAAAATAAAAATAATCATTAAGAAAAATTTCATTTTGGAAAGCCTTCTTTATTCAACCAACCCGTACTACAGGGTACACCTGACAAGCAGGTGGATCAGAGTTCAAGGTCAGACTGGTCTACAGAGTGGGTTCCAGAACATCCAGGGCTACGCCAGGGCTATGCAGAGAAACCCTGTGTCGAAAAACCAAAACAAACAAAACAAGAAAACCACTTGAAGTTCAGAGAAAATCAACAAATTTCATACAATTAGATGTCCAAGTAGGCCAGACCCCACCTCTCCTGAGTCCCAGAGAGACCTTTCTCTTTGCCCTTGCTAAACCAAAAGCCAAGTTTGTAAGGCTCAGTCCAGTTTCCTGACCATGAATAAAGCAAGGAGTGCCGCTTTGGCTTACGTTTGTTAAAAGCTGTTTCGTGGCTGACAGGGACTTTGTGGACATACAAGGAGTAGAGCTGACAAGATGAGGCCACCTGTAGTCCCAGCACCTGGGAGCTGCAGGCAGTGTGGTCACGGGTTTGAGACTAGCCAGGGCTGTCAAGAAAGAAAGAAAGACAACAGGGGACTGGAGATGTAGCTCTGTTGATGACGTTCTTGTCTAGCATGCATGAGTCCCTGGTTCAATCCCCAGCAATGGATAAAGAGAGTGTGGCTGTGTGTGCTGTAATCCTAGCACCTGGGACCACTCTGGTCTACATAGTGTGTTTCAGGGGCTACATAAGATTGCGTCTCAAAGGGGCAGGAGAAAATGCAAGAGATTAAGCACTACTGACCTTGGGCCTTTTTTGTTCTAATATTCCTGCAGCAGAAATATTGTCCCCTTTTCCCTCTGTGACAGCTGCAAAGGGCTCAGCCACAAATGGTCCCACAGGAGCCGGGTCCTAGGGAGCCCTCAGGGGTCCCACACACATTATTCCAGCTCCTGGACTCTCTCAGCCTTTCTCCCTCCTCTCCTCCTTCAGACCCTCTTCTAACCTTCTGTGCCCCATTCTGGAAAACACCATCCCATAATATAAGGCCAAGATCCAAGATGCCATGAGATGGAAGAAAGGCAAGCAGACACAAGACTGTAGAGTGAAATTTATTCCAGGACTTAATAACATGAGGAGTGATACCAAGACCACTGGGTCCCTCCAACATGAGTCAGACAGAGGTGCTGCTGGCTGACTCTTACATATTAATTTAACCCATCTCCACCAATCTGTGTATTGCCACATGACTGTGCTTACTGGGTAAAGTTCTGGTGTCTGACTCTGGCAGCAGCTCCATGGCTTCTCCTCCCTGATTCTGCTTCCCTTCTCCCAGCATTCAGTTTAGTCGTGTCCCCCCCCACCCCTCCCCCACCTACCTCTATTCCCTGCACAGGCCCAAGACAGTTTCTTTATTAACCAATGGTATTCGCAGCATACAGAGGGGAATCCCACATCATCTCAGGTCAACCAGAACTGCACAGCTAGACGCTGTTTCTAAAAGAGAAGGGGCCAGAGAGATGGCTCAGAGGTTAAGAGCATTGTCTATTCTTCCAGAGGACCCAGGTTCAATTCCCAGCACCTATGTGACAGTTCACAACCATCCATAGGGAACTCCAGTCCCAGGGGATTGAACCCTTCATCTGACGTCCATGGACTCCTGCACACACATGGTGTAGACACAGACTCTGGCACACACACACACACACACACACACACATATATGCATAAAATTAAATGAATAAACATTTTTAAAGTTGTATTTATTATGTATACAGTGCTCTGCCTGAAAGTATGCCTGCAGGCCAGAAGAGGGCACCAGGTCTCATTACAGATGGTTGTGAGCAACCAAGTAGTTTCTGGGAATTGAACTCAGGACCTCTGGAAGAGCAGTCAGTGCTCTTGACCTCTGAATCATCTCTCCAGCCCCAATGAATAAATATTTTTAAAAGAAGAAAGTGTAGCATCCCTGAAACATGAGGGCTATTTCTAGAACCAGGGTGAATAAACAATGACTCAGAACTTGATCCCTATTTCCCTCATTGTGCCTAAAACCTCAGAACACCAAACACAAAGGCACCCATACAAAATGCAGGGTCTGCACCTTCTCAGTATCAGCTTGAACTTGGTCAGACATGTACCCATTCACCAACTAGGTAAGGCTCTTCAGAGGAAGTACACACAGGCAGAAAAGCCAACCAGTCCATGGGGCCTGTCACTCATGTCTAGCTGGGGTGAGATCAGCCCATGGGTAACCTTGGCTAGTCCTCAGGTGCTGGTTACAGGGGGACAAAGTTACATAAAGAGTAAGTTCTAGAAGGAGGAGTCCTCTTGGGTATGACAAACTGAAAATGAATAGGCTTGGGACAAGACAGACTTACCAGCTGTAGAGACGGGAAGTCTGAAATGGGTCCTACTGGCTAAAAGAACGGTGTGGGCTCCACTCTTCCCTTCTGCAGGCTTCTGTGCTTGAATCTCTTGTCTCGCTCTTTCTGGTAGGAAAAGTCTTTTCTGGCAGGCATCGGTATGACTCTGGCCCACCTCTTCCATGTTTGAAGTTCTCATAATTACATTGGATTCATACGTAATCTAGAGTACTCTCTTAAGATTATTATTTTATTCATGTTATGAGTTTGTTTGCAAAAATTTGTGCAATAGGTGCACATAGGAATCCTTGGAGGCCAGATTCCCTAAACCTGGAGTTGCAGGAGGCTGTGGACCATGTCATAGATGCTGTGACTTTATTAAAAAGGGATGGAAGCGTCCAGTGCTCTGAGGAGTACATGGTCTACACACTGGCTGGCTTCCAGCCAGCTCAAGGTGTTTCTCTTTGCCTAGTAACAGGGAGGTGTGGCTGCAGCAGGTATGGAAGGGAAGAACACAACCGAAAAGAAAAGCGGTGGAGAGAAACTCTGTCCTGGACTGTTCTGGCTCTGCCACAGGCTGGAGAAAAACCCCATTAGGCTGAAGGAGGCAAGTGAATGGGAACAGTTAAAGGGAAATCATACTAGGGGCTGAGAGCTTGAAAAGCCTGGGTACCCGAGGGGTTGCTTGTTTGGGGACAGGGTCTCTCATAGCCCAGGCTGCCCAGGCTGTTCTCACACAGGCTGACTCTGAATTCCTGGTCTTTCTGCCTCTACTCCAAGAGTCCTGGGACTACGGGCTGGATCCACCACATTGGGTTTATGTGTGTGGTGGGATCGAACTCTGGGCTTTGTGCATGGTAGGGACTCTATTAAGGGATCTACATGCCCAGTCCTGGAATAACAGATGAGAAGATTGGGAGCTGAACGCCTGACTCAGGAAAGGTTGCTGAAAGCCATCAGTCAAACACGCAAGACCCAGGCCATGAACCAGAGTCCGGGTTCAGGACATGTGGTGGTTAAGAATTATGTATCCAGCCGGACGGCAAGCCTTTAATTCCAGCACTTGGTTGGTAGAGGCAGCAGGATCTGTGTGAGTTCGAGGCCAGCCTGGGTCTAAAGAGCAAGTTCCAGGACAGGCTCCAAAGCTACACTGAGTAACCGTGTCTCGAAAAACAAAGAAACAAACAAAAAAGAATTATGTATCTATCCACCACCCACAGGTCTGGACCCAGTAAAAATGCTTGCCGCCTGAGGTTCAGGTCATGTACTCCTATGCCTGCCTTCCGCCTGGGGAGGGCATCTGGCCTCGGCTGCAGTACCTCACCTACACCTACCTACCCGCTCCCCTGCTGCTGCCGCCCATCCAGACCCACAACTTCTGCAGCCGGCCGGCCGGGCTGAGCGCGGCCCCGCGTGAATTCCACTGCTTCTACGGTGCGACCCTGGCCTCCACGCCGCCCTGGTTGCTCTTCCCGCGGCCGGGTGCCGCGACCCTTGGCTCGTCGTTCCCCGCGGCCGGCGCACCTGCACCATCTCAGCCCGCGCCCGACGCCGAGCGCTGGGAACAGTCGCCCGAGGGCGCGGGC